ATTTTAGGGCCCGACCCGACCCGATTCGGGTCGGGTCGGGTTCGGGCTCGGGCGGCCCGATCTTACCTCTAAATGATTCCCTTTTGTATCAATCATGATGAAAACCAAGACCTACAGTAGCTAGCATCGGCTTGACTTTTATGCTCGTGCTAATGTTGTGAACTGAAAAAAAAATGCTTAATTAACTAATGATGACAGAAAAGATACACCTTGTATGTGCTGTTTTCAGATTTAAAAAGAATTCCAGAATACCATAAGATGGTAGTTTTTAAGATGGTCTATGACACAAAGCATTGGCCATGAATCATTGCTTTAGCTGACAACATCAAACCATGGATGGGAAATATCTTGCTTCTCTGAGTCTGTTGCAGAGGTCGTTAAAGCTCCTGGTACTCATTCGTCCATGTTGCTGTCCCAAGCATCCCAATTAGTCGACGGCTCAACTGTGACTGACTTTACCTCTATGTATTGTTGTCTTTTTTACTCTATGTGCTCATCGGTGGAAGTTTAAAAATGTAACAACCTATTTCGGCAAAGTAAAGAGTAGAAAGTCTTGATATCTGGTATCACATGCCTGGAATAAAACCCAAAAATAATCATGAATACGCAAGTACAGATACTGTACATGTAAAAATCATTTTAGTCAATGATGTCATTATTAGAGTGCAACAAAGCTCAAGCCATCAAAACGACAGCACTTAGTTTTAGAAATCTGCTTGTCCTAGTGTTAAAACTGTTAAAACTAAATTGAAAAAACAAGTCAAAATCAAATAAAAGCTAACTATAATGAAAAATCCAAAACTATTTTTACCATGAACTCTGAATGGTTGATTTTCTTCAGGCGCGGTGGTTTCTGTATATCAAATTAGAGGCACAGGACAGGGCCAAAAACGCCTGATTTATTTCACAAGTCATATTTATCGCATGTACTAGTAGTGTCAAAGGCATAATGACAGTTTGACCAACACTATAATTTTAATGTCAACGTAATCAAACTCTTGTTTACAGATTCTATACACTGCATGAAATGCGCACCAGAGTTCTGGTCCAACGAGCGCAGAGACGCCTGCATCCCAAAAGAAATAGAGTTCCTAACATATGGAGAAATACTAGGAACTCTTCTAGCCTCATTCTCTTTGCTAGGAGTGTTCCTGACCACATTGACGACGATAGTGTTTTACTGCCACAAAGAAACACCGCTGGTGCGCGCCAACAACTCGGAGCTGAGCTTCCTGCTTCTCTTCTCCTTAACTTTGTGTTTCCTGTGCTCTCTGACCTTCATCGGCCGGCCCACCCAGTGGTCCTGCATGCTGCGGCACACGGCCTTCGGCATCACCTTTGTGCTTTGCATCTCCTGCGTTCTGGGGAAGACCATATTGGTCTTGATGGCCTTTAAAGCCTCACTCCCAGGAAGTAATCTCATGAAGTGGTTCGGACCCACGCAGCAGAGACTCTGCGTGGTGTCGTTCACTCTCATCCAGGTGGTCATCTGCATACTTTGGCTCACCATCAGCCCCCCTTTTCCATTTAAGAATATGATACTCTATCGAGATAGAATCATCTTAGAGTGTCAACTGGGCTCCGCTCTGGGTTTCTGGGCTGTGCTGGGCTATGTCGGAGTCCTGGCCGGTTTGTGTTTCGTCATTGCTTTTTTAGGCCGAAAGCTACCTGATAATTTCAACGAAGCCAAGATCATCACTTTCAGTATGTTGATATTCTGTGCTGTTTGGATCGCCTTCGTACCTGCTTATATCAGCTCTCCGGGCAAGTTCACCGTGGCTGTGGAGATATTTGCTATTCTGGCCTCCAGTTATGGATTGCTTTTTTGCATTTTTATGCCCAAATGCTTCATAATATTGTTTATGCCGGAGAAGAACACTAAGAAACACATGTTTAGAAAGTCAACTAATAATAGATAACAAACACTTATTTTAAGATGGGGAGCAGAGTGTATTACCTGCGCTTTTGTTTCGGAGCAAATATTCTGCTTGTATGCCATTGATTCTGCCATTCAAAATAAATTAAATGAGCCACCAGGATCAAAGTACCGACTTTTTTTTAATCCTTCCTTTGTAAAAAGTGAAAAGCCCCCCTTGATGAATAAACATTTTAACATAAAAAAAAAAAAATTTAGTGTGGTGAAAATAAAGTGATCAAAGAAAGTGAATTTATGATCATTATTGTTGTACTTCTATGCTCACCCTTATAATTTCATTTTTTGATGAATACGGTAGTAAAAGAAATACAGGACATGTAAGCATACAATAAAATTACCTTTACTGTTAATGTTAATTATTTATCACGAAAGTAATAGATCCTTTGTCCAGTGTTTTCATTAAAAGAAAAAAAAAACACTAAATACAATGAATGAACCAATCTCCAGGATGGATCAATTTCCTCCGTTTTTTTAATCCTACAGAGATAAAAAGTTCAAGATCGTCCTTGTTGAATTCGCGACATTATTATCCATCCATCCGTCCATCCATTTTCCGATCTGCTTTACCCTCACAAGCGTCGCAAACTCCACACAGGAAGGCCGGAGCTGCACCTCTGCACTGTGAGGCGGATATGCTAACCAGTAATAATATTTTCTTCCAAGCATGTCATGTCTTTGGAACTTTTTTTTTTAATTAAAAAAAAAAAGTAATGACAGTATGTACTTGGAAGCTACTACACTCACTCTCAACAACAAAAAAATTTCAAGTAGGAGAGCCTGTGCACAAGTGTTTTCCCCTATCAAGTATTTTGCACTACTTTGTATTTTCAATTGATGTTTTTTTAGTTTTTATGTGACACCTGGTTATGGTAAAAGCATTGCCATCAGGTGGATTCCTCATACCTCCAAAATCATCACTTTTCAGGAGAGCCCCAAAACAGCATGTTTAACATTGCATTATCAACGATAGCAGGAAATTTTCAAGACTTTTGGTTGTAAAAATGACATCCACACATGTGGACTGACCAATAGTATAAATTTGGGGAAATAATATGAAATTCACTAATGACAGCGATATGAAAAAGGAGAGCAGACGCTGAATATTGCAAAGGTTGGATTTAAAATGACACCCAGTGTATCAAAAGGAACTCAGGGTGCATTTAAGCCACAATGTTTCTGATTTCCTGCAGCATCAACACAAGATTTTGGCAGAAGTAAGGAATTACTGTAGTTGGAGTTGCTCTAATTATGTGCACTAGGAATTATTTATCGAGATTACATAACTGGGAAGAAAAAAAACGTGGTAGCACTGTTTGAATATGGCTGAGACCTGCGCATCGGCCCCAGAATCCCTGGAGAGCTCTTCTCAAGTTCAAATAAATGATGATGCAACAAGACACGTCGTACATAATGCAAAAACAACAGAGGAGGAGGAGACCAGTGGGAGATGAATACGTCCTCATCTGTGGCGCGTGGAAACTTTTTACCCCAAGGTGCCAGCCCATGGGGAGAGGGGAAAAGGTGGGGGAGGCAAGAGATGAAACAATGTTGCTTCATTCTTTTGCAACAACTTGAACAACAGGTGGCATATTGCCTCAAGCAGAAACCAAAGAGTCATTAGTTCGTTAACACCCAAGTCACAACATGCCTGTCGGCATTACGCAATTACTTCACTTTTAATTACCCGTAGGTGTAAATCTATGTATCCAAATAGGCTAGGCTGCAATATTATATTTTAAAGAAATACTTTAGTCTGAGTCAGAATAAATAATCCCATTATTGTAGGAACACTTTTTTGTTTGGATGCATTTCTGCTGTCTGTTGGTGTAATGGCGAGGTACCCCCCGATCCTCTCGTCCATACAGCGCACCCAAAACAGAAGAGAAAATTTAACTGACTTCATTAAGAGAAGGTGCAGGATTTACTTTGTGGTGGCCCGTCAAAATTAAAGTTTCCTTAGGGCTCCAGAAATGGTTCATCGTTTTCATGATGTTGCATTAAGTGGACGTTTGATGTCTTCTTAGAAGAATAAGGATTGCACCGCCAACCTTCAAGTTGTGAGACAACCATGTGAGCCAAGTGGAACTAGGCCACTTTGACAAATGGCATGCTATGCTCTGTACTGTACATACAGTACAGTGAAGTAGGGACCATGAGACCAACCACCTATAATAGAAGTAAAAATCCACACTTGATGCCCCTCCCCAAAAGATGTCTACATTGATGGTTAAAGACCTTAAAATATTATCTACACTGATTTTGTTGTTTTTGTTGTTGTTGAATTTACTCAATTTTATTTCATCACGTGATTGCATGAAATAAAATCGGCCCGGATGCAGATGATTCTATTATGTGCAACCACTTGACAAGATAAAATTGTGGAATTTCAAAGCATTATTTTTTTCCAGGGTATGAATCAAAAACAGAATAGCTTTCAAACTCATCATCAGTATCCTTGAAAATAAATGGCTGACAGATTACTTGATTTGGGGGGATGGGGAAATGCACCTGAAGTGCATGTCACCACTTTGCAAACCAGGAAGAATACCAATTATTACATCCTGTACATTACTGACTCTATGATGTGTGTTAGGCAAGTTCCAGAACCGATGCCATGAGAGATACTATACTATACATTTCAAAGCCAAACCACAAATTACTAGTCCTTCAAACTAACCCCACTGGGGTTTAATGCACTTACCAGCCTTCTCTGCCACACCTTCGCGCGCACTCCTGTAGGCATACGTCACAGCTATCTTGATATTGCCCAGGCCTTCAAAACTGTTCCCCTTGATGTCGCCTTTGAGCTTGGGAAAGAGGGAAAAAAATTGCATGGTATCAGGTTGGATGAGTGGGGAGGTTGCGCCAGCATGGCAATGTTCTTCTTGGCCAGGAACTGTAGGATGCTCTGCTTATTGTGAGCAGGCATGTTAATATGGCGAAGCAGCTGCAGGTAGTCCTGAAACAACCTATTCTTACTCACTGGGCCATGTTTGGAAATACGCTCCAAGCACGCACTGCCTGACACCAAGCGTTCCGAAACACATAGAGCGTTGTTCAAATATGCCGTTCGGTTCTTCATAGTGCACTAAAAACTGAGTGCTCTAGGCCAGTGTTTTTCAACCTGTGTGCCGCGAGACATTGTCAGGTGTGCCGCGGGGAAATATCCAATTTGTATGCCTGTGCGGTCTTTCGTCCAGAAAGTAATCATGTAGTACCCTCCTATACCGCTAGGGAGCAGCAACAGCTAGCCAATTGCCTTGTGTTTCGACGAGAGACAAGCGAATTTGTGACGCATGAATGCAGGACGACGGTGAAACAATAAATATGAAAGATGATAAAATACTGTTTTCTTTGTGTTCGTTTGATTCCAATTCAAGCTGTTATAACGTCATTATTCAATGTTAAAAACGGTTATAGTAACAATATAACACGTTAATTGTTAAAATAAGCTGAGGGGGGGTTCACATTTTCAGCTAGTGGTGTGCCGCAAGATTTTTTTCAATGAGAGAAGTGTGCCTTGGCTCAAAAAAGTTTGAAAAACACTGCTCTAGGACAGTGGTTCTGAACCTGGGTTCAATCGAAACCTAGGGGTTCAGGGAATCGGTCTCAGGGGTTCAACAGAGCCTTCTGGAATCTTCCATTTCTTTGCTTTTTTGCTGCATATCAGCTGTTGTCAATCAAGAGCTATTCCTCCGCCATTTTCTTGTGACAAACTTATAGAGGTATGTCCAAGAGTGTTTTGCTGTCACGGGATTTCCTCAAGCTTGGTGCTTGGAGAAAGGCAAGCAAGGTTGCCTCCTACTCTTGGGTGGCAGAAAGGGTGCTATAAAAAGTCAGCCCCCCTCGCAAGAAGGCTGACTGTGCCAAAGGCAAAGCTTTGAGATGACATCAGTGGTGTTGGTCTTTTTGGCACTGCTCGCTTGGAAGGTGTCAACTGGCTGCTGTTCTCAGCTCTGTCATGTCAATTGTGAGGGCTCAAACATGTCGCCTCAAGTTCTCCAGAAAACTAAGCTAACCTGTGACAGGTGAGTGACATTCTGTGTTCACCGGTATTCGATGCAAGACCTCTGATTGTTTGTTTTGAATATCACCTTCTTTAAAAATAAATAGCTACTGCTATTTTGCACGAAATGAAAGGTTCCGCTTTTACTCACCTGTTTCGATCTCTTCTGAGGAGTTCTGTCCCGCATAGGATCTTCTCAGGGAGCGATGTCACTTTGAATGACACACACTTTGATGGGCCTCCAATGCACAAAGATCAAGTGGAAGCGCCTGCAAGGAAGCAAAAAGGTTTGAGATTATTGCGTTTCCAGCGGTGTCAGGTCAAAGATCGCCTCTTGAGGATGCAGGTGAGTCACATGCAGAAGTCGCTATATTCTGCTTCTATATGTATCTTCCTTATGAACAAAATGAAGTTGTCAAGAGTACGAATTGCTGTGCATTGTGACCTCTGTGCAGATATATGGTGAACATCGCCACGCACATCTGATTCGCAGCAGCTTTGACGTCTCCCACATCACTGCTCTTGCTCGATCCGACTTCCAATATGTGTACGGCAACCCCGATCTAATAATTAAGCAAAGATTATTGAATGGAACTCACATGTCATCAGTTTTATACTGCAGCCTGGGGACAGAGGGATTCCGATGTCCTTGGTGGCGGCAGAGAGGAGGAATCTGCTGTGAGCAGGTTTTGCCTCTAAAATTTCCTTCAGATGAGATGAGATAATGATTTCACATTTGCAACATGGTCGACACAAGAACTGTACCGAAAATCTTCCCTTTATATAGGTTCGTCAATTTTTAATCGAGAGTTTGGTTGATAGTGTATCTCGGCTACCCGGGGCATGATAATTCAAGAGTTGAATCAAGGCAACCGGACTCCACCTGGCTGTCAAAGAAGTTTCATTTTTGATACATTTTAATATTTTTTTTGTTTGTTTGTTTGATAGACAATAATTCAACAGTATGTTTCTGACTGTATTTGAAGAATTTGAACTGCTCTGTGTTTAGTTCAGTTCAGTTCAAAACTGTCCCAAAGGGAAATTTGTCTTGCAGACTCGGTAAAAAAAAAAATTACACAAATAACAGGCAGGACACACTACCTATACTTTGACGGTTCGTGGCATTGTGCAAGTTAAGTGATTTTATTGCTCAGGGGACAAATGAATCTTTGGTTCTATCCGTTCTATATAACAGGATGATCAGTCGTCTCAATTGTGCCATTTTTTTTCCTGAATGAAATTGAAATATTTTCTCAAATGCAGATCCTGACACTGACAACACACTCTCTAAAAGGTTCCTTTCCCACAAGAGCAGGTAATAACAGATGGGAAGAGAAAGGCAAAATGCTGCGAAAGACCCCGTTAAACGTCTTACTTTCTTCTCCACAGACACCATCAAATTCAGCCCAGCCAGGGAGGAAGGTTGGCTGCCCGCCCACACCAGCAGATGGGTCGGGAGAGTGTTTCTGGCCGCCGTCTTGCTGGCGTGGGTTCGCATGACCAGGATGAAAATGTCAGCGATCAGAGTTGGCGGCACCACCGTTGTGACGTTTTTTTCTTTCAATCTGTGCTGGATTCCACCACCAGTCACCATGTGCCCATGGTTGATAACCTTGGCCGCCTGCCTCAAGTATTTTCTGAGCACGAGTTCACTTCTCGTCATCTCCCGGAAGGCTCTTCTTTGTGCCATGAAGTGGTTCCGATCCACTTGGCAGCAATGTCGAGAGCTCCCGGTCACTGTGCTCATTCTCTGCTTGACGCTCTGCCTTCATTTTCCAGCCAAAAGTGACAAGCACTGGTATGATGATGTGTTTCCTGGGTTGACGATGCCTGTGTTGGACCATTTGGAATTTGCGTCTCACTTGTACCGTTTGTTTACGCCACTTTCCACGTTGCTGCTGTGCATTTGGACTCAGCCGACTCCCGTAATCATTCTCTTACACGCTCAGCTGGTAGCCTGTGTGCACAGCTCAAGGGTACCGACAAAGTATGTGCTGGTCATTAAGATAAATCAAATGATATGACTCTCAGCAGATGCAATGTCACAAAACAATTTCACCCTGAAGACGTGGATATTTCACACCATTCTGTCCTCTGTTTGTTAAACTTTTATACAGTGTATGATTGTGTATGCCGTGTATGTCTAAAATATTTTGAGTCTAAATACCAGTGCCGTGAGCTACAATATTCGTGTAAAGCAAATGATAAAATAAGTGTAACAGTCCTTCTTAAAACCTCAAGATGGTGCTTTTTTTTCTTATATGTTGATGTGCAATATTTCAATTTAAAGGCATGAATAAAAAAAAAAAAGAAAACAATAAAATAATTAAAGGTTGTGTTTGTTGAGTGTCTCATTGAAAACTATGAATTAACACCCTTTTATTCTGTGATGTGTTCAAACCCCTAATAATTTCCATGATGCTTTTACACTTTGTGCCTCTGACAGTTAGGCTTGAAATAAATGGTTTTGCATGAATTATAATGGCAAGCAAAAAAAATTAAAAGGTTAATTGAATATCACGTGGCCTTTCGAATAATTGTCAATGTGGTATTGACAATGTCAGGACATAATCAGACATAATGAATGTCAGAAATTAAATGTCCACCTCCTTTCAGTTGTTTGGAGGAACTCAAGTTTGTATATCACAGACACACTTTAAAATGACCACAATTAAATATTTTCCACTTGTTGCAAATTTGATTACTGTAATTTTTTTCCTAAATTTCAAACATAATTTCAAAAACAAAGCTTTGTGGTTGTTTTTTTTTTTTTTTTTTTTGTTTTTTTTTGAAGGGTCAAGCTCAAAATGTTCATGCACCTCCTTCTAGTCTAACGGCCGTTACCAGAGCCCGGAGGCACTGTGATGTCATTTTCAGTCGACAGAATTGGCTAAATGACAGGCCCTTAGATAGATAAAAATGAAGATTTTGCTGCTAATTCATAATTCACAGACATGATATTAATCAGAATTTCATGTTAAGACTAGTGGGGGTGCTTTTATTGTAATGAAAAACATTTGACTTGACTTCCCCTTTACGTGAGGGGTGGCCACTGGTAATTTCAGTCATACAGTATATGTTCATTTTCCCGAGCGTCTCGGTGCTAGGCATCGCAGCCACCCCCACCCACAACCCCTCCACCTGTCAATTATTTTTTGGTACGTCATTGCCACACCACGCCGCCATTTCGCCGTATGACGGCCCGTCGATGACAACTTTTCAACGCATTACGGCCGCATCGCACCGACCCCACCCCCATCCCAGGCCTACAATGATTATTTTTTGGCAAGTGATGGAGGCCATCGACGCATATTCCCAGACCGATTTTTGTTCCCAGCAGGTTCCTGTCTTTCAGTAAAATAAATAGAAAGATTTGTGTGAGTGGTCAGTGGAATGGAAATGTGCTATCGTATCTTCACATAGATTGTTCTGAATTCCTACATACATACAAAACTAAATATCTATATGCACACACACTTATATAGGTTTTGCATACAATATTTAAATACGTATAAATATTTACAAGCAATAGAAAACTACAAAGACAATGTAAAATTGATTTTTTGGAAAATGTACATAACCCAGGGACTGTGCTTCATGAGAATTTAGGAGTACATTAAACAAAATAATAATGATACTAATAATGCAGTACAAGCATTTGATTGTCATTTTATTTGAAAATGATGAGCTCTAATATGAAACCCGAATCGTTAAAATAAATGGCAAAATACAGCATTTAGTGTACTTCCTGTCTGCCATGGCACTGAAACAATATACTACATTTTAGGGATTTCGTATGATCAAATTCATGACATTTGACGGGTTCATGAGGATAAAGCGATTTCCCCATGAAATATTAAAGTCTGTCTGAGCAGCATTTCGAAAAAAATAACCACTGAAAACCATCCAGTATCATTTGGGAATTGGCAGAGCGCGCACATTGGTTGCTGTCGTCGTTATAAGAGGTCAGCTCACAGGGTCAGTCTTGCAACAAGGAAGAGGAGGGTGGCTGAAAATGGGATGGTTCATTGTGATCCTCATCAGCTCGCTGGCAACGACCAAGGCAGAGAGCCAAACGTGCAAGCTGATTGGGCAGACAGGCTTCTTGGAGTTCTCCAAGGAAGGAGATCTCCTGATAGGAGGGATATTCTCACTGGCAAGCACTCGAAAACTAAATGACAATGACTACGAGGCGGTCCCTCATTCATACTGCATCAAGTGAGTGAATCTGTCAAGCTCCATCTTAAATCCACGGTTTTTAACCTACTTACAATGCTTTGCAGATGGAATGACAGAGAGCTGAAGTTTGTCCGCACAGTTATGTTCACGGTGGAGGAGATCAACAGGAATGCGCAGCTCCTTCCGGGAGTCAGTCTGGGCTATCAACTCTACAACGGCTGCGGGAGCGAGAACCTGATACGAGCGGCGATAGAAGCCATAAGCCAGGAGGGGCCCGCATGCAGTGCTCGAATCCAGGCCCTCCTTGGTCACTCATCCTCAGGAATTAGCAAGAATATCAACACCCTTCTGAGTCCATTGTCCATTCCGCAGGTGAGTTGCTTCTCGTGGCTCAGAACAAGGTTAAAGTTGAAGAAAATGGATGGATGGTGGAATTAATGGCCGTTTCTTGATTTCACTTGAAGGTCAGCCATCTTTCAACATGTGCGTGTTTGTCAGATAAGAGCCTCTACCCCACCTTCTTCAGAACGGTGCCGAGCGACCGCGTTCAGGTGCTGGCCCTGGTACAGCTCATGAAGAATTTCGACTGGCGCTGGGTGGGGATCATTTATTCTTCAACCACGTATGCCGACAAAGGCACAGCTGAATTTGTGGTGGAGGCAATGAAGGAGCACATTTGTGTTGAATATCGGCTAGTGTATTCAAAGGCCTCGACCGAAACTCATGAGGCCATTGTGAAGATGCTGAGGGAATCGTCATCCAAGGTGGTCCTGCTCTTCATGTCTTTATCTTACACAAAGTCCTTCTTATCTAAAATGGCCGGTTACAACATTAGTGGGAAGCAGTGGGTCGGCAGTGAGGCGTGGATCACACAACTAGACCTTGCTTCCGTAGAGAGGCAGAACATACTACAAGGGGCAATGGGCTTTGCGCTCCCGGAGGCGTCTATTCCCGGGCTGGGCAACTTCCTGTTGGACTTGAAACCATCTGACGAGCCTCAGAGTGGAACAATTAAGGCTTTCTGGGAGAAGTTTTTTGACTGCAGCTTTTCTCCCTCCAACACCTCAACCCTGTGCACTGGTGGTGAGGACATGAAGGCCATCTCCAACGACTACACGGATGTGACTCACTTCAGAGCTGAGAACAACATGTATAAAGCAGTGTATTTGGTTGCATATGCACTTCATGCATTGTTGCAATGTGAAAATGGCGCCAATCCAACCACAGGAAAACCCTGTGTCATCAAAAGCGAGGTCCAGCCCAAGATGGTAAACAGAAAACATACAGTTACACTATATGTCCTTGCATGTGAGAATGTTTTGTGTAGCTTTTCTGTTTGCTGAAATGTCTTAGGTGTTGGAGCACATCAAGTACGTGAATTTCACGACTCCGAATGGGGCCAAGATATTCGTCAATGACGATGGCGATTCTGTGGGCGAGTATGACCTAATCAACTGGCACATGAGAGACGACGGTTCGGTCAAGCTCGTGAACATTGGCCGGTACGACGCCTCTTTTTCAGAGTACAGAAAGCTGAAGCTGAAAGGAGACGCCAAAATAGTTTGGGGAGGAAACAGCACAGAGGTAACGTGATGCGCTTTGTTTGTTTGAAATGGATGTGACTGGAGTACAGTTTCCTATTCCCGCTTTGTTTTGCCTTTCCAGGTGCTGCGGTCTGTGTGCAAGGAACCGTGTCCTCCTGGGACCCGCAAGGCCGTCAACAAGAACAAGCCTGTGTGCTGCTTTGACTGCTTTGAATGCCCCGAGGGAACAATAAGTAATCAGACAGGTGAGGGAATCAAGGTGGAATCTGTTCTCTGCATTGGAGCATGCTTAAATAATTCGATAACATGTGTCACTGTGTGTTTCCAGACTCTCCTGACTGTTTGGCTTGCCCACCGGAATTCTGGCCCAATGCCAAGAAAGACCGTTGCGTTCCTAAACCCACTGAGTATCTCTCTTATAAGGAGATCATGGGTGCGCTTTTAACGGCATTAAGCTGCGTTGGCGTGTTTTTAGCTTTTCTGACATTCCTCATATTTCTGACCCACAAAGAGACTCCCATCGTCAAAGCCAACAACTCGGAGCTGAGCTTCCTGTTGCTCATCTCCTTGAAACTCTGCTTCCTATGCTCGCTGACCTTCATTGGTCGTCCGACTGAGTGGTCCTGCATGCTGCGCCACGCGGCCTTCGGCATCACCTTTGTGCTTTGCATTTCTTGTGTGCTGGGGAAAACCGTAGTAGTGCTAATGGCTTTTCGAGCCACGTTACCTGGCAAAAATATGAAACTGTTTGGGCATGTCCAGCAGAGGCTCAGTGTTCTGGCTCTCACTGTGGTTCAGGTTCTATTCTGTATCATTTGGCTGTGTACAAATCCTCCATTCCCTGCGACCAATCTGAAGTACTACAAGGAGAAGATCATCCTAGAATGTGCACTGGGTTCAGCGATTGGGTTCTGGGGTATGTTGGGTTACATCGGACTTCTCGCCCTCCTGTGTTTTACTCTTGCTTTTATGGCCAGGAAGCTTCCAGACAGTTTCAATGAAGCGAAGTTGATCACTTTCAGCATGCTGATATTCTGTGCAGTGTGGATGGCCTTCATCCCGGCCTATGTCAGTTCCCCTGGCAAGTTTACAGTGGCCGTCGAGATTTTTGCCATTCTGGCCTCCAGTTTTGGATTGCTGGTTTGCATATTTGTTCCAAAGTGCTACATTATCATCTTCAGGCCGGAGAACAACACCAGAAAACATCTCATGGGAAAAATACCACCAAGAACCCTTTAAAAGTGTCCCTCAATTCACACCCTGTAGATGTATATTAAAGGTGGATTGACTCCTAACTTGTACTGTGTATTGTATTCATTCAGTGAATAAAGTGATTTGATGACACGGGGTCCGTGTTTTCATGAAAAACATAACTGACCTCAGGATGTTGAAGACCAGGTGTCCAAAGTTAGAAATGAAATTGCACCAAAAGCTAAGCATGTTGTAACATTCGACCCGGACCACCCTCGCCAATGGGCAAGTTTTGTGCATGAGCACAAACCTGCCAACAAATGACCAGTCCTCCACAAAGTGAACTGAAAATCATCACGTTTTCATTTTCTTTGTAATAAGGTGGTGGTCAGTGGGTTAGGGTTACAGCTTATTCGTTTCAAGAAAGATTAAATATTTTGAGAGCAGGCTCCACATACCGTATGCTGCCATAAGCGTCTTTTGTACATAAAGCTATCGCAGCACTATATCATCATCTGTCGTATCCTTTGCTAGTTTTATACATTTCCAAGTAACCGTGGAAATGGTGCTTTTACGCTAACGTTTGATAGAATATATCGCCCTCTCATTTTTCCTCTGTATTGTATGAGGACACACCGATATCAATATAACACCTGACGGCTGCCCCCTATGGGGATTATTTCCACTGTTTGATGAAGAGAACAGGTTCATTGGCAGCATATAATAGCCCAGTCCTCATCACTCTTAAATAACGCAGCGCAAACATGCTGGGCAGATCCCTCCTCCTGTCCTCGCTTTTGTCTCTGCACTTTGACACAGTGAGTGGCTGTGAGCTGTTTGGCAAGTTCAACATGCCCAGTCTTTTGCAGAGAGGAGACATCATGATTGGGGGCATTTTCCCGATTTTTAACAAAGAGCTAGGCAGCACCTCAACATTTCGGCAAAACCCTCCTGGAATCAAGTGCGCAGGGTGAGTTTAATTTAATAACAACTGAATAGTCCATCGACAAGTCACTGATTTATTGCTGTTGGGGGCTGGGGGGTGTTGCTTGTTTTGTTTTGTTTTTTAATTTTAGGTTTGACCTGCGAGCTTTTCGATGGACTCAAGTGATGGCATTCGCAATTGAAGAGATCAACAAAGATACAGCCCTCCTGCCAAACATATCACTTGGGTACAGAATACTCAACTCATGTGCATCTTCCACCAACACTTTACGTGCGGCTCTAACACTTGCTGGTGGAAAAGAAGAAACAGAACGTGGCTCATCTTGTCTGCCGGTGATATCTGCCCTCGTAGCTGAGTCTGGATCTTCCCAGTCTCTTGCTGTCGCCAGCACACTTGGACCTTTTCAAGTACCAATCGTGAGAGCTCTTACTCTGTTTTGATGTCTTATTTGAATTGAACATTTTTCAGTTTGATCTTTTTTGTTGCTGTTTTTGTCTCGTAGGTGAGTTACTTCTCAACATGTGCCTGTTTAAGTGACAGATCAAAGTATCCTACATTTTTTCGAACGATTCCCAGTGACTATTTCCAGGCAAAAGCTTTGGCGGCCCTGGTCAAACGCTTTGGCTGGCGGTGGATCGGAGCCATACAGTCCGACGACGACTACGGGCGTCACGGGGTCCTCGCCTTCAAAGAAGAAGTTAGAAAGTTTGGGGTTTGTGTGGCATTCGTCGGAACAATTCTGCGCACATACTCTATGGACAGGCTCCAAGCTGTTGTGGAAATGATCAAGCGATCGAGCGTTAAAGTTGTTCTTGCATTTGCACCCGAGGGTGACTTTTATCCTTTGATGAAGGAGATTGTGAAACAGAACATCACAGGGCTCCAGTGGATCGCCAGTGAGGCCTGGATAACAGCCCTTCGATCGTCCAACCCGGAAATTTACCAAGCTTTCGGTGGGGCCCTCGGCTTTGTGGTGCCCAAGATGGCGATTCCAAAGTTGAAGCCTTTCCTCGCGGGCATCACTCCTTACGCAGACGCGAGTGCGGCATTTGTGAGGGAATTCTGGGAGATAATGGTCGGCTGCAAGGCCGTTCTACCAGGGGAGCAAGCCGACACCTCACATGAAATGTGCAGCGGCAACGAGACGTTAATGAAATCCCAGGATGATTTCTTCAATGTCACTCAGCTCAGAGTCTCTTACAATGTGTACAAAGCTGTTTATGCCATTGCACACGCTCTGCACCATCTGCTTTTCTGTAAATCCGCTCGTGAAAAACCAGGAAGGCCGTGTATGAACGTGTTAGACATTCAGCCAAAACAGGTGAGACTCTACTTTTTTTTTTTTTTTTTTGTTTCTTATGAACAAAAACTGCTTCATTGTGACCCAATGAGCAGGAAGTTAGTGGATTGTGGTAAATTCTGCTATGTCCCCTTGTTCCATAGTTGAAAATGTATACGAGATTAGACCTCAAATTGAGTTTAGAAGTAGGTGCAGTCATTTTCCGGGAAATCACTCCAGCATCATCCCTGGGTTTTTGTTTTTACAGTGTATACAATGAAAAAGGCATGATTAACGCAACACATTAAATTAAAGGCTGTCATTTTTGCTTTTTTTTCCCTTTAGGTGACCCATCACCTCCAAAGGGTAAAATTTAAGAACCAATTTGGTGATTATGTCTTCTTTGATGAAAATGGCGATCCGCCGGCTTCGTATGACCTGATCAACTGGCAGCTGATAGACGGGAAAGTGAAACACGTAACACTGGGTCACTTTGCCATGGCTGATAACGGCGACTATGACCTGAGCATCGATGAGGAGCAGATAGTGTGGCGGACGGGCAAAATGGCGAGTTGTACATTTTTATTCTCTTATGCTAAAAGTAGTTACACTCAGTACATACATACAGTCGAAGTACAGAATTGTGTGTGAGGGGGTGCGGAGGCGGCATGGCTACCCTGAGTAGAAGCTCCGATTCAACTCAACTCTTCTACTCTCATAAAAGAAGTATCGACAGAAATGGACAAACATTACAATGACAGTTTCAATCGCTTGTCAGAAGGGGGGAAAAACATCTCTACACCCTCTTAATAATGTATACCATGCTCATAGTGGGTGAAAACAAAATAAGGTCTCATGGGTTTTTTTTTGTTTTTTTTTAAGCAGGAAGTTGCTAACATTGTCTTATTTTTTATGCAATCTGAGCAAGTTTCCACAGCTTTGCCAGTGTTGTGATTTGATGGCTAATTTCGCTAATGCAAGATGAGAACAAATAAAAGAATACATGAAAAATGACACCTGATATGTTCAGATCTGATGGAGAATATCTGAACGCCACAAGCCTCCAGTCCCTGCTGTTCCCTCAACCGTGATTGACTTTCCCGCTCTCAATTTCCGTCTTTTTTACATCCCGTCTTCCGATGAGATTGAAAACAAAAAAACGAGGCCGTTTTTGACGTCTAGGTATCTTACTTCCGATCACTGCATTGAAGTGTACTTTTTTCAATTCTTCAGGTTCCACTTTCGGTATGCTCGGTGGAATGTCCGGCGGGGACCAGGAAAGCTCAAATTAAGGGAGAACCCATCTGCTGTTTTGACTGTATCCCGTGCGCTGATGGGACTGTAGCCAACACGACAGGTGTGCACATCAACATTGTGTCATACCCAAGATGCACTGTTTCAAATACGACAGTTCAACTTTGCCACCCAACAGGTGCGGCAGACTGCACGCCATGTCCACAAGAATTCTGGTCCAATGAGCAGAGGGATGAGTGTGTTCCAAAAACCATTGAGTTCCTGACCTATTACGAGCCGATGGGCATCGCTCTGACTGCCGTGTCGCTGCTGGGGGCCTCGCTGTCGCTGGCCACCATGCTCGTTTTCATCTACTTCAGGCACACTCCGGTGATCAAGGCCAGCAACTCGGAGCTGAGCATCTTTTTGCTGTTTTCTCTCCTTTTGTGCTTCCTCTGCCCCCTCACGTTCATCGGCAGACCCACGGCGTGGGTGTGCATGCTGCGCCATACGGCGTTCGGATTAACGTTCGCTCTCTGCATCTCCTGCGTCTTGGGCAAGACGATTGTGGTCGTGACGGCTTTCAAGGCCTCATTCCCCGGCGCCAAGGCTGCTGGAACGTTCGGACCGACACGGCAGCGGATTATTGTTTGCTCGTGCACTCTGGTGCAAATACTAATATGTGCTCTTTGGCTCAAATTAAACCCACCCTTCCCAGCCATGGTTTTCAGATACAGCAATAAGATCATTTTGGAATGCAACACTGGCTCTGAAGCGGCGTTCTACGCGGTGCTGGGTTACATAGGCTTTCTTTCAATTATATGTTTAGTGCTAGCATTTCTCGCAAGAAAGCTGCCGGATAACTTTAACGAGGCCAAATTTATCTCATTTAGCATGCTGATATTTTGCGCAGTCTGGATCACTTTCATCCCGGCGTACGTCAGCTCTCCTGGCAAGGTGACCGTCGCTGTGGAGATATTTGCCATTTTGTCTTCAGCTTTTGGTTTGCTAGTCAGCATTTTTGCACCTAAATGTTTCATAATATTAATAAAGCCAGAAAAGAACACCAAAAAGCACGTCATGGGGAAAATGTTTAACACTGGTCCTTGAGATGATTGAACTTGCAGTTTATCTCGACCAGTTTATGATGTAAAATGACAGGAAAGGTGTATGAATGTATTGTGGTTTTGTGAAAATATGTACTGTAGAACCGAATGGAGATTTTACTGGGAGGAAAAAAGAAAAACAATCTGTAAAACTGTTGACTGATTTCCCACGTTGTTGCTTTCCCAGCATGCATTGTTTAGAATCAAAGACTAGCTGCAGCCAAGTGACCAGGGTTCAGGTTAGGCTAACCCTGACTCTAACTATTAAATAAAGGTATATCGAGGATATACATTTTGGCCGACTGCATTTTGTATATAGTGGGTAGACTAGCTCGAATGAGATCCAATACAAAACACGGTTTGCATTAAAGACCACTGCATCACACTGAGTGCTGTTTCTCATATTTTGGTGAACATATTTCGCGAAAGTAAAGCTACATAATGGAAGTAAAACTTGTTCAATTCAATGCAGATTTTATGCATTTTTTAAATAAGAATCATTTTCAACATTTTCACTTTTGAAAGGTGACAATATTTTTTTTCTAAAGGTCATTGCCCACTTCATTCCAACTATATCAAAATAAATCAATGTTCTTCTGCCTCCCAGTGGACAGTCCATGGAAAAATCCAACCTGACTGTAAAAGGGGGCATAAGATGGGAAAGTGATTATTTTTATAGTTTGTATAGAGTGTAGTTGGGGCCAGGGACATTCTGGCTAAACTTGGAATGCCTCAAGTGCAAGATCTGGATGAAGTGGTTAGGGAGAGGGAAGTCAGAGATTCCCCGTTGAAGCTGCCGCCGACATGATTTGACCTGAGATAATACGTAGGTATGATGGCATACCAAAAAGAAAAATGTCTATGTAGGGTATCGTGAAACAATGATGATTTATTTTTTCTCAATTTACTCCCAAATGCATTTATTTATTCAGTGTGAAATCCGGGCCTCTAGTTCAACACAAAGCTATATTACAGTTTAATTGTACCTTTTGCCATCTTGTGGAACAGCAGTGAATTTGTTTGTCGCTATCATTCACTGGCATAGATCGAGGAACAACTCTGCATTATTTGTTACAGTCAAATAATGATTTTCAGGCCTCTAAAGTGAAGTTGGATGATTGGTTGGGAAGCATTATGGTCTTATCCCTGCCCATGTTCCATTTCCTGATGGGAGGTGCTCATTTCAAGAAACGTGTGATGAATCTGATGAAAAAACGCATCACCACATATAAAACATCGTGGCAGGAAGGAGAGCAGCAGAAATGAGAGCAGGTGTCATGGGGGCGCTCCTCTACAACCATTTTTTTTGGTGTCTGCTCTTGAGTCATTTCTCCTCGACCTCGTTCAGCCCGACCTCCAGTTCCACTTCATGCAAGTTGTGGAGGCATTTCCAGCTAAATCAAGTACACCAACCCGGCGACGTGATGCTGGGCGGGCTGTTCGAGGCGCACTTCAAGTCTACGTTTCCCGAGCAGACGTTCACTTCGGAACCACGCCAGCCCAAGTGCCAGGGGTACGTATGGGAAGACTCAGAGCAGCGTGAACGATTCCACTCGTTGATTTTTTCGCGTGTCAGCTTTGACACCTTAGGCTTCAGGCACGTCATGACCATGGTCTTCGCCGTGGATGAGATCAACAGAAACCAGGAGCTGCTGCCGGGCCTCACTCTGGGTTACCGACTGTATGACAACTGCGGCGAACTGGTGGTCGGGTTCAGCGGAGGTTTGTCGCTGGTCAGTGGGCAAGAGGAGCAGTTTGCGTCGCAGGACGGCTGCGTGGGAACGCCTCCGGTGCTTGGGGTTGTGGGCGATTCCTACTCGACATTCTCCATCGCCACGTCCGTGGTGCTGGGTTTATTCAAGATGCCCATTGTGAGCTTTCTCTTTAATCTTCTCTCGTTAGATGAAGACTTTATATGAAGGACTTGACATAGATTGTGTCGGTTTCTCTGCACAGGTGAGTTATTTTTCCACGTGTTCCTGTTTGAGTGATCGGAAAAAGTTCCCATCCTTCTTCCGAACCATCCCGAACGATGACTTTCAGGTTGAAGCAACATTTTACACACGAGTAAAGTAGCATGCAGACAGTAAAAATATGTCTTTATAAACATGATAATCTTCAGTTGTGACTGGGTGAGATATTATTCGTGCTGTACGCTTCATCATATCATACAGAGAGGTTTTAATATTTTGGTTACCTCATAAAGTCAGAGGGTCAACATTCTCCAAATGCTCACATTTTCACAAGCTTTTTTATGACTCACACTCAATTTCGACATAAAACTGTGTTCTCTAGTTTTCTTTGCATCGTTTTTAAATATCTTGCTAGCGTACATCTGTTGGACCTCTCTGTTCAGGTGCAAGCTTTAATTCAGATCCTCAAACACTTCGGCTGGACTTGGGCCGGCCTGCTGGTTACGGGCGATGACTATGGAGTCGGTGTGGCCCGCGCGTTCCAGAGAGAGCTGGCCGAGTCCGGCGTCAGCTGCCTGGCTTACCTGGAGGTTCTGCCCTGGGATAATGACCCGCCCGAGCTCCGGAGGATTGTGGACTTGATGAGGTTGTCGACAGCCCGTGTCGTCATGGTGTTTGCGCACGAGACTCACATGCTTCATCTGATGGACGAGGTTGGAATCAAGATTCTGGATGACATGAGAAAGAAATGTGTTATTCTTAGCAAGGAGATATGACGGCTAATTTTCTGCAATTTGTGAATGCTCGGCCCCAACTTAAATTTAAGAGAAAAAAAGCCTATTTGAAATAAAACATTGTATATTATCCTTCTTGAAATATGACGTAGCTTGATGGCTTGACTGTTCTCGTCAACATAAATGTCAGCATTTAAGACTTTTTGATTCTTCGCTTTATTTGCGCCCCGCAGGTCATGAGGCAGAACGTGACGGGCCTGCAGTGGATCGCCAGTGAAGCCTGGACAGGAGCCACGGTGCTGCACACACCCCGTCTCATGTACTACCTGGGGGGCACGCTGGGCATTGCCATCCGGAGAGGCGAAATACCTGGACTCCATGACTTCCTTGCACAAATACGCCCAGACGTACACGACAAAAGCCAACACAACCTGGTGAGCTTTTAAACTTTTTACACTGCACCGTCAACTGAAGACAATGCAAAACAGTTTTCCTGACTTCTGTTTTTACACATACTGTATATACTTCCAGGTGAACCAGTTCTGGGAAAACACATTTCAGTGTAGGTTTGTGCCTCCAGCAGGCTGGCTGGAAGCGGGAGGAGCCAAATGCACGGGACGTGAAGACTTAGCTAGCGCGCAGTCCGATTTTTGGGATGTTTCGAACCTCAGACCGGAATATAATATTTATAAAGCGGTGTACGCTCTGGCCCACGCCCTCCATGACCTGCTGCAGTGTGTGCCCGGGAGTGGGCCTTTCAGTGGCCACAGCTGTGCTACTTTGCAGGGACTGGAGCCATGGCAGGTACGAAAAGTGGAAATTGAGGGACACGTGCGTAGTGTTCACTGAGTTCGAGAGATATGAATTTAAAAGTGTTCGTTAAGCCTGTGTCTATTATGAAATTTTAAATGATCCATTCGATTTTATTTCAAGTGTAAATTCCTGCAAAGAAGGAAAATAATTGCAAAATTGCAGTGTAATATTACAGATACAGTATAATGTCGGATTATTATGTGAAAGTTGTCATGTTATGAGAAGAAAAATGGCATTTGGTCTGACTTTATTCTCTCGATATTTTAAATTTTCTACTGAAAATGCTGCGAAGGTAAATTCTGACAACTTTCTTCCTCTAAATGATTCTTGTATAATTTTGATTTTTTTCCTCTTAATGACTTCATACGCAGCAATATTTTTCCTCCAAATATTGTGAATTATTCTGGAAAAAACTTTTCTCTTGCAATATTACAACCTTATTTTTTTGTTATATGATGACTTAGTTACCACTTCTGCTCCCAATATTTTGACATTCTTCTCATTTATTTATTTATGTACCTATTCATTTATTTTTCACATGTATTTATTTTATATTTATCACATTTTACAGTTTGTTGTATGTGTACTTGTATTTGCTTTTAATTTGCTTTTGCTTTGTTTTACGCTGCTTGTTCTCAATTGCCTTACCTGGATAAATAAAGGTTGAATACATTCTACAAATAAATATTCAAATTTTCTTGGTCTAGGTCATCACATGATTATAAAGTTATTGTTTTTAACATTTTTCTTGTTTAATTCAATGTCTTTACTGTCATTCGCAGCTTCTGCACTATTTGCAAAAGGTCAACTTTAACACATCTTTTGGTGACCAAGTGTCATTCGATGACAGTGGTGATGCAGTACGGATATACGACATCATAAACTGGCAGTGGCTACCTGGCGGCAAAACTAAAATTCAGCATGTTGGTGAAGTTAAGGAGTCCGCTTTCAAAGGCGAAGAACTCACACTTCATGATAACAAAATCGTCTGGAGCTTTGGATCTGAAAAGGTCATTACCAGATGTAATTTAATGTATAGCGACATTTTGATTATGTTGAAAAAGCTTTTTTCTCTTGCACAGGCCCCTCGGTCTGTGTGCAGTGAGAGTTGCCCTCCAGGCTCTCGCATGGCGCGAAAGAAAGGACAACCGGAGTGCTGCTTTGACTGCATCCTTTGCTCGGAGGGCATGATCAGCAACATGACAAGTGGGAATAACACATAGTGATTTTTAACACCAATTTTCAACGTAAAAATATCCTCAAATGTCTTTTATGGACTGTGGTGTACATATTTGAAAAGTATGTCTTTCAAAGTACCAATTCTGACCTGTGAGAGGCAGCATGGTCCCATGGCATCCAGACTGCTGGAATACACAAAGTAGAAGAAAGAGTAAAAGAGTGAACCCCCATTATTTGCATGAGCACTTAACACAAAGGATGTAAGTCATTAAGCACACAACATAATAGGTAATGTACATTCGTAGCTGCATAACTAGAGAGACAAATATATAGTTTCAGTTTCACTTTGACTTTGCACAAGGTACATTCAAGGTCGACAAAACAGGACATCTCGAAAGCAGACGGGAAAACACCTTCAAGTGATACATTTATTGCTTTGGCCTGAGCACAAAAACACTGGGGAGGAAAGTTGAATTTGGCAATTTCGAATAACAAGTACTGCATGTGGGGGTTCACTGTAGTAGTAGAAATAAAGTAAGTTTGGCTTACTGTTCTTAATCTTATCGGGTCTACTTGTCATTTTGCTTGTGGTGATTGATTTGTGAGATACGTGACCCACTCAACGCAACCTGTTGGAGCTCTATTTAAGTCTGGCAAGAGCACAAGCTTCGGGTCACTTTTTAATTGGCTATTGTTTTGTTTCACGTCACATTCACTGAGTTGGTAGCTCAGCCTAAGTCAGTGTTGACCAAACACTAAAGGATTTGCCATAAAAAATATTGTGCATTTATCATTTACGATTGACGATATCCGATATTGGGCCTTTGCTGGCCTTGTGATATCTTGCCAAAATTCATTAAAATTACCTGCACGTGTAGCCGGCTTTAGTTACTGATAAAGTCCAGATACCTTGGAGAATGATCACCCCGTAGTCAAGGAAAATGACATTTTAGATTGGGCAGTTTGACTTTGAAGGACACGTCCACAATATCATACTGACAAAGAAAATCAAGATGGAATCTAACACTTAGCCCTAACGTTTAAACAGCATTGTGATGGAGGACAAAGATATTAAGCAGCAACACTGTTCAGTAAAGCTGGCTAGCTCTCAAGATACTATTACAGCCAAACAAAAAGCCTAAACAAACGTTGTAGCTCGAATAATGTAGCTAACAGCTAACCTCGTTAGCCTAGCAGGCCCACATAAACGTAACTTCAGTATCGTTTAGCTAGCAACCTTCATTAGATTAGCCTGCTACGGCCTCATGTTTGAGAGAATCTTGGTTGACATCCTAACAACAGCATAAGAGAAGTCCATTGCTTACCTTGGAGCAGATTAAGGTGTACCTGATGATTTTTGACAAATGTGTCTGACTATGTGGACAGCTAACTGGATCCACAACCTGCATTCATCTGGGTTAATGTGGGGGCTTGGGATGCATTTAAAAACATTTCCCTCCAAAAATTAATTTTCATAATTACCTTTCAAAAGTGCACAGTTACACTTAAAATCTTTAAAACTGCTTTTCCTGTGTCTACAGATTCCATGGAGTGCTTCAGTTGTCCTAAGGATTTTTGGTCCAATCCCCAGCGCGACCGGTGTGTGCCAAAGAAAACAGAGTTCCTTTCCTACCATGAGCCCCTTGGTATCTGCTTGACAAGTTTCTCTTTGCTAGGCACGTTAATCTGTGCCATTGTTCTGGGGATATTCATCTACCATCGGAGCACGCCCATTGTACGGGCCAACAATTCTGAACTCAGTTTCCTGCTCTTGATTTCACTCAAACTGTGCTTCCTCTGTTCACTGCTTTTCATCGGCCATCCAAGGCTGTGGACATGTCAGTTGAGGCACGCGGCCTTTGGCATCAGCTTTGTGCTCTGTGTGTCGTGCATCCTGGTAAAAACTGTGGTGGTTCTGGCTGTGTTTAGGGCCTCCAAACTAGGAGGAGGAGCCAGTCTCAAGTGGTTTGGCGCAATGCAGCAGAGAGGCACAATTATGGCTCTGACTTGCATTCAGGCGATTGTCTGCACCGCTTGGATTGTCTCAGCCTCACCAAGTCCTTATAAAAACATTCAATACTACAAAGATAAGATTGTTTATGAGTGTGTGGTTGGGTCCACTGTCGGTTTTGCTGTGTTGCTGGGCTACATTGCTTTACTTGCTATCCTCAGCTTCCTGCTAGCATTCATGGTAAGAAATCTGCCCGACAACTTCAATGAGGCCAAACTGATTACCTTCAGTATGTTGATCTTTGGTGCGGTGTGGGTCGCATTCGTCCCGGCTTACATCAACTCTCCGGGAAATTACGCAGACGCAGTCGAAGTCTTTGCCATCCTGGCCTCTAGTTTTGGCCTCTTGGTGGCGCTATTTGGACCCAAATGCTACATAATCCTGCTGAGACCAGAAAGAAACACAAAGAAAGCCATCATGGACCGAGGGACTGACAAATCGCACAAGCACCGTTAGAAGAGAACAGCGTTTTCTGACAACACATATGAATGCTACAGTGTGCATGTTATATTTTTTAATGTATGAGCTGCTTGTGGAGGCTCTCAGTCGTACAGGAAAGTTCCATCGTAGAAAGGGTTCTGTCAGTCGTCATCTGTACCTGTGGGTAAAAAACAAAAAACAAAAAACAAAAAAAAAAACAAAAAAAAAAAAAACAAAAAAGGACGTTTCGCTTCTCTCACAGAAGCTTCGTCAGCGGTAGACAACCCTGAAGTCTCCGTGAAGACTCCGGGAAGTTGCTCTGCGCTAAAAGGCTGAGCGTGGCCTGTTTGAGGACTGGGTGGGGATGGTTAGTCACGCCCCTATGGTGAAGAGGCCCATTGGTTTCTAAACTCCCTATCATTGGGTCTTGATTAGGCCTATTGTTTGGGCTAAGGCTGAATAGCTACTTTCAGTTAGCCTGATCAGCATGTCTATGTCCCTTACTGGTCAACAAGTTATTGTAAATAGGAGACAGGTTAAATCTGATACCTCCTTCACGGTTCAGAGAGGGTGAAAATTTTTTAACAAAAATCGCTTCCTTTACTCCCCTTTCAAACCATCTCTTTTCTGTTCCTAGGATTTTTACTTGTTCATCTTCAATTGTGTGGTTTGGTTCTTTTAAGTGTGCGTATACTGCACTTTTGTTATCATTGTTTTTCCATTTGTGTTGATAAAGTCTTTTCTTGAGGGTTTGTTTGGTTTCTCCGATGTAATGTTCCTTGCACTCACTTTCTTGGCAACGGATGGAATAAATCAGATTGCATTTTTGGGTGTTAG